GGGAGCCTTGTTGGGAAAGGGAAGCGGGCCGGGCGGATGGGAACTGGGGGGCCATGGGCAGGGGCGCTGGAGCACCAAGGATCGCACCTCCCTGTGTGCAGCCACCCACGGAGCCGGTCCCCAAACTCTGCGTCCGAGGAACCCACGTGGACGGCGTTTCCTTCTTTTTCTTAACGCGGCTGCTCCTGGAATTATTCTTTAATTTCTTACTGTGCCCAGAAGACACGGGAAGTGTCCGTATAAATATAATACAAGCCGGGAGGGCTGGAAGGGGAGCCAAAGCCAGAGAAAAGTGATGTGATCTCTCTGAAATATGTCTTTATTAAACACAGCGTCAGGGATATTCTTCCAGAAGATATTCAATAGGTGCATGTGCATGTGATCTGACTTTATCTTCCAGTTAAAAGAGAGAGAGAGAGCTTTGAAGCTCTTTTACTTGCCCAACATTTAAAGCCATATTCACTAGTAACTAGACTCAAACTCAGAGCAACTTTCCGGGGCCCAGAGGAAACGAATAGCGACAGACATGCATTAGTGCAGGTCATAAAACATCGGCACATCAAAACGTTTTAGATGAAAGCACATTTGAATATCGCAAGCCTTCCTGCAGGGCAGCAACAGCCTAAATGTTTATGGGTAAACTTTTTTTTTCCACTGGGGGGTGCAGTTGGTCAGCCTATGGAGATTTCCACAGCTCCTTTCTGAGTGTACTTTGTAAATAATAACAGAGGTGATAATTTCCAAGATACTGTAGTATGTGGGAAGAGAAAGGGGGAGAGAGAGAGAGAGAGAGAGAGAGAGAGAGAGAGAGGAGAGAGAGGTTTTCATTAGCGAAAGGAAGAGGGACACGTACACCCCCTCCACTTTTCCTGGAAGAGGTTCCAAGATTTTTAAGTCGTTGGGGAAAAAAAAAGCACAAAAGAAAAAGAAAATTCCAGGACACACGAGGATCCGATGAAACGCAAAATTCAGCGCCTGTCAAGTTCCAAGTGCCTCTGGCTGCTCTTGAGTTGAGTCGTGGCGTCAGAGACCGTCTGCTGGACACACCCTAACATACGTGCCATCAGATTCTTTACCGCCATCGGCTGACCCCTGGGAATAACGGGATGAATGAGAGCCTTTTACTGACAGAGCTGGAAAGAGCGCCTCCTCCATCAAGACTAACAGGAAGAGACTGGAAATCCGGGTAGCTCCTACTGACGTGTAGGCCCTGGGGAGTATAGCCGAGGCTGGAATGTTGGTCAGGAAAAATGATACTGCAGTAGAAGATTTTTTTTGTCCTCCTATTAGTATTTTCTTCACGTTTTGACATCCCTGACGTGACTTATTATCATTTAATTGGCAGTATTTTTTTCTCTCTCTTTGTGATACATAAAATGAGGGCACACCTTACGAAGCATGGTGCCTTCCACTCGATGAAACATGTCACTGGTCTGTAATAATCACAAGTAAATCCTTTGCAATGAAAATATGTACATTTTTTCACTTCCTCCGGTTAGATTGAATAGCTCCCGATTAAACATTGACCTCAGGGTGGCTCTTTTTAACATTCTTGTTTGCGCAAATCCTTCTTCCAATTAAATGAATTTCCAGCAAGGTCTGATACAAACACCGTGACATATTTTATTTTTTCTACTCACACAACGCCCTCCAAGAAGCTTGCATGCTTCCCAGGAACATGCCCGCTTATGATGACACATGTTTTTGCGTACCTGTCGTTTTTATCGGCACGTGGGAGTCCTATAACCAAGGCTGCCACTGTCAACGTTGACCCTCTCTCCATCCTCAGAGCCATAAATAGTGAGTCCAAAACTACATTTGAAAGGCAGGATGCAAGAAAGAAAAAAAAAAACCCCATCGTATCATTTCCCACTCATCTAACCCTTCCAGGACGCGTCGCAGTTAGAAGACAGTTATGGGCACAGATTTCCCGATTAGCAGGTTCATTAGGGAGAAGGTACAGAATACTCATCGCAAGACGTTCATTCGCGCTGACAAGGCCTGACCCGGTGGGCACTCACTCATCAGTGACAGTGAAGCTGCTCCCTGGTGGAGGCAGCCATGGGCCAGGCAGGGAACACACGTTCCTCGTGGAGGAATGCATCCGATTGAAGCAGGCCCCCCATCGCATGCCCCTGCTTCTGGGAACTCCCCAGGGAGCAGCCAGCTCCTCTCCAGTCGCTTTGTTCGCGCTGCAAAAAATGCTCAGGGGAAGTTTGCATGTTACCGCAAAGCAGTTTAAACTCCCAGCTCTGGTGAGAGGCATGGTTCTGCACCTTAAATCATCGTATTGGGCCTGGCCGGTTTTGCTCAGGGGTTAGAGCGTCAGCCCTCGGACGTAAGGGTCGCCGGTTTGATTCCGGTCAAGGGCACATACCTGGTTACAGGCTGGATCCCTGGTCCCGGGTTGGGGTGCATACGGGAGGGAACTAATCGATGTCTTCTCTCTCTCTCTCATCCATGTTCCTCTCTCTCTCTCCCTCCTTTCCACTCTCTCTAAAAATCAATGGAAAAAATATACTTGGGTGAGGATTAACAACACCCCCTCCCCCCAAAAAAATAATCAAATTGATCCTGAGTAGCTCCTTTGGTCAATACACACTCTATAAACACGGGGTGTACTCAGCTATTAACTCCATAGTAATTGTAAGTGTTACAAACTCTTACATTTTCTTTTTTCAAGATCGTGATACCCAAAAGGTTACTCTATGAATATCAATCAAAATCACATATTTGAAGCCCAGAAGGGTATTTTCACATTATGATTATAAAATGTGTATTTAATGGCGCTTTTTCCAAAGGTCAGAATGTTCAACGATGTATGCCCTCCTCCTATATTGGTTAGAGGCCTACACCCTATCCCCACCCCTCCTCCTGCCCAGAGGACCACAGTTCCTATTACCCAGATGATCCCACTTTTCATAATAAATGACCATGAATTGGGAGGGGTGGTGGAGAGTAAAAAGAGAGAATGTGGAGAGAAATGGAGGAGGAGCGGGGAGAGATTGGTCGATATGGCAAAAGGCCTCGACCTCCAGGAATGTTCCTTCTCTCAGCGCCAAAACTAAAATGAACAGATGGGGAGCCAAAGGTGCTGAGGGTCACAAGGACCCCCAGGTGTGGCCCTGGCCAGGTAGCTCAGATGGTTAGACCATCCTCCTGGTCACCAGGGTTTCGAGTTGGATCCCAGGCCAGGGCACATCCAAGAATCAACCAATGAATGCATCAATAAGTGGAACAAAGTGATGGTTATGGACAAGTGGACACAGGATCAAAATCTCTAATAAACTATAATTTTTAGTACTTAAGTATGTGATGTGTTATTCTAGGAAATAAACAGATGATATCATTGATGCATCTTCCTTTCATCTTCAGAATTTTTGCATCTTTTCAGAAAATGACAAAAATACAATTTTTCTGTTTCACTCAGCAATTGTGACTATGCATAAAATTCTTGTAGTCTGTAGAGATATCAATAACATTGTATATGTTTGTAAAAAAACAGGGGTCTCCCAACCCCGAGTAGACCAGGGGATTAGCATCCTCGTAGAGGGCAGATATGCGCTGGCTTATTTGCTGGGAGCCTTAAACATATTGCTTTTATTTCCTGCGGATGAACGCATTTGATTGTCCCATCGTGACCTGGCTTTCGCTGATAGGGTCTTAGGACTCCTTCCTTTTGGAAAATAGTGGAAAACCTCCTGACTTCGTGTCTCTATCATGACATCAAAATAACCTTAAAGTGCCTTCTCTCGCTGTGTCGTCCTCCAATGGGTAACTATCCCTCCTGATCACATCTGCGAATTCTCTCCCAGGTCCCCCGAGGTTGCTCTAGACCAGTGGTTCTCAACCTTCTGGCCCTTTCAATACAGCTCCTCATGTGGAGACCCAACCATACAATTATTTTCATGGCGACTTCATCACTGTCATGTTGCTACTGTGATGAATCGTCATGTAAATAGCTGATATGCAGGATGGTCTTAGGCAACCCCTGGGGAAGGGTCCTTCGACCGCCAAAGGGGTCGCGACCCACAGGTTGAGAACCGCTGCTCTAGGGAGACCTCATGCACGCCAGGATTCCCCCTGATGGGAGGTGACCTACCTGCTCCCACACATGGAGCCGGGGTACTCCGCCTGGGCTGGGCTCCTCTCACTGGGCACGGCCCCTGTTCGACTCATCACTTCACAGATATCAGACAGGGAAGCTGATGGAGTTGTTCTGCGTGGATTGCGTGTTAGCACCATACGAGAGTGACCTAGAAGGAAACAAGGCCACCACGTCTACACGCGTGTCATTCAGG